AGTCAATACTGGCCTGCTTCAACTGAGAGTGGAAAAAGATTCAACAGCAAATATACAACCAAATGCCAAATGGCCAACCATGCGGGTAATATGGGCACTGATCAGTACTATTTCTCTGCACTACGATGCCAGAGGCTATGTTTACTCATTTCAAGGTTAAAGGATAGGGAGAGCATTAGTGTGAATCATTTTGGCTGACATGTGTTTGTGCGTCACGTGAGGTGCACTATACATGACAGATGTTGTTACAACATATCCACTCTGGATGGGTGCATCTTTGATCAAATCGTGAAACAAGCAGTAGTAGTGTGTCAGTAGTGGTTTTTTAGGGAGAATTTCCCTCAGTCATTTACTATAAATTGAGAGAGAGGGCAGCCCATAAATGCATATAGATTATGTGGCAGCTATGAAAACAAATGCATCCAGAATTTAAAAAAATAAACAACCTTCCAGGGCTGGATGGGAAATCAAACATTTCCATTTAAGAAAAATGTATCTCGTCAAGAGGTAGCTTTCAGACAAAACACTGATTCCAGCTGGATCACAGAACCTTAGTAGGACTGTATAACGCCAACGGCACAGATAAAGATCAGTAAGGAGAATGGGTGTGCATACTTAATACATACACATAATAGAGGTGCATACAGAGAAAAATGTTGCCTAAATCCGTGTAGCCTACAAGTGAAGCTGATTCCTCACTTTTCATTTCCAAAAATGTCAAATTATTCCTTTAAGCTTTCAGCTTTAATTATAGCTGAACTCTGAGTGCCTTGGATTTCCCTCCTCTTTGCATATGCAGCTTTCAGTGCTGAGAGTGTGTTGTTTTTTACCTGTCATGAAACATACACCAGCCTTCCTGTTTTGAGTCATGAATGCGTTTGTCTCTGTAGCAGAAAACCTGCATGAAACCTAACAGGACCTCTTGAGAGGAGGAAATGAACAGTGGAGCAAATACCTCACGAGGAGGAAGTTGATGTGCAGAGCAGCTATCAAGCTGAGCGGTGACACTCGATTAAACAGAGAAACTAAACAGAGGTGTCTTTGTTGAAACGAAGTTTGAATGCTACTCACAGATGATATTTAACATTCAGTAACCTGTGATGTGGTATTAAGCCTCAACTGATGGCTGGATGGAGCAAACAAATGTCCTCTGACACAGAAACACACTGACAGGATGCAAATAAACTCTTTCCCAGCGTTCATATAAACACTCAGCGACACATGTTGAACTTCCTGCCAACAGCAACTGAGAATAAACATATTAAATCTCTGCCTCATAGGAGTGGGAACCAAATACATCAAACCAACTCTGTATGGGAAGTTAAACAAGATGGAAATGACAAAAGACCTGAAATAATCTAACAGTCCAACACATGTGTTTTTTGTCTTTTTATGCGCAATGAAGAGGCAGCTGTGGCAGAGTAACAAGGGAGTTACAGGTTCACTCCTTTTGTGTGCCGTGAGTCAGGGATTTGTGTTCCAGCAAGGCTGATTCTGAAGCCGCTAAATAGAGCAGCAACAGACACTGGCTGAGTTGAAATGTGTGGGACACACAGAGACAGTAGACAGTGTATCTGTATGATTGTACTACAGTGGATATTTCCACATTTTCCAGAGCTATGACAATATTTTGTTTCATTACACGGTACCAGTAAAATCATTTATCCCCAAAAGTCCCTGCCAGGGCAGCAGTAACACATGCATCGCTTCATTTTGAGCTGTAACTTTAATTCTCTTGGTTCAGTCAGTGTAAGCTCTGAATGCTGGAATGCAGTGGTGAAAACACATTACTGACCAGGGTTTGATGTCAGGTTTGGTATGTGACACATGGATGAGCAACAAATGATGTGTCGCCCCTCCCCTCCGGCTCAGAGTAATTCAGAAATAACGGAGCAGCAGAACATAGCGATTTAAGGATCATGTTTGACGTACAGACACTTTTACAAGGGTTGTAGTGCCACACTAAGGCCAGTCGGTGCAATACTGAGGATGCTAGAACAGAGGATTGAAATGCAGTGCTTCTTTCAGTTCATCTCTGGTATCTGTATGTGATTAAGAGATGGAAGGACACGGGATGATTCACACTCACTTCCTTGATTTTATTGTGAGGGATAAAAACGCTACTTGAAACTGACATTGAAGGTTTCTGAGCTGCCTGAAAGGCCTGTTTTCTCAAAGCTTAAATAGATTTATGGTACCAAAAAAGGGTCTCACTGGTTCCAGCTCCTATCGTTTTAACACTGTTTTTCCTGTTCTTTATCATTATAGCCTGAATATCTTTGGGATTGTAGTCCAGAGGATTGATAATACAAGCATATTGAGGAGGTCACCTTGGGCTCTGAGACCTTGTGATGAGCAATTAGTTTTAGCCGTGCTACCCATGCTAGCAGTGTGGCTGCAGGGATGGCAATGTAGGTCGGTCCACCGCTTTGGTCTAGACTGAATTCCCCAAAAAATGCATCGTGTTGACTTTGGTACATAACCATTTAACATCATTTACATTTTTTCCAGTGCTGTGGTTTGTGACCTAATACCTGCAAAACTATTCCCATCAGCCTCAGCTGTTCTTTGTATTTAGTGGTTATTAGTAAGTAAGTGATAACATGCTAAACCAAGATAGTGAACACGTTAAAAATCTGCATGTCGTTGTGAGAATGTTGGCATGTTGGTGTTGTTCTTACTGACTCTTACAGTAAAAGATTAATCACTTGTTTTAAAATGTGTTTGACAGATTAATGCAAACAATCATTTGTTGCACTCCTAGTACCCTGTGTGGTTCCAAAGGGAGCCTTATAGGGGCTTCATTCACAATACGTCAGTAATGGGCAGATTTAATAACAATGAAGACAGGCACTTACGTTGGTACTCGCCCTACAGACAAGATGGTGGATGGACCGTCTTTTAAAGAGGCTGGTTTCATGCCCGTGTACTGGAAAGGCCCTACTACCCACAGTGGTATCATTCTCTTTATGTCTCTGTTCTCTGAAGCTGAAACCAAAAAGAGAACAGACCCTGTATGCCATACCATGTATGGAAACTGTAAACTGTGATTTGTTTTTGAACCCGTAACAACTCTTATCTTGTTTCTCACAAATGTCAGATAGCTGGCTCATCTAAAGATACCAGGTGATAAGTGAGCTCCCATAACTGAAGAAAAAATGTGGAATCAGTTGTGTACAGTAGACACAGATATTTATCTCCACCACTGAGAGGGTTAGCTTATTGACACTTCTGTCAAGCTGATTAAGTAAAACTAGGTCTGATCTCCTCAATGCCAAATGTTAAAGTTCACAAGCTGTTTTATGTGTTTCTGAGGACATAAGAGAATGTGTGACCTTTAACATTGCCTGTATGGAGTAACCTGCTTTCATACTGACAAATGCCACAAAAAACACTTTCATACAGGAAATGAATCAAAAACTCCTCTCACTTTTTTGAAAAAGATGAAGAGAATAGTGGAGTACAAATAAAGCCAACTTTATATAATAAGGCACATTTTAACAAATTTTGTGTGGACTGGAAAGTTAATGTAGATGATTGATTTTTAGACACAACGCTGACAGTTAAGGAAAACCGGGCAGAGAGAGGTAAACTGTTCCACAGCTGGGGACAACAATGGAAAATGTTCCATCATCCTTGGATTTGAACTTGGACAGTGAAAAGGAGAGTGGGAGTAAAGGACTTCAGGGTCCAGGTGGTGGAGTGAGGGCTGAGAAGGTCAGAAATGTAAACTGCTGCCCTAAAACTTTGAACAGACGTGAGCCTGCCTTTGTCTCAGAGGACTCACTACGTGACGGCCTTTTCACTCTCACACCAAAATGACTCTGCCTGCTACCACACTGAATATTTTTGGTGTTTATCTAAGCTTTGTGCATCTGTTTTTATTTGTTTTTCCAAGGCATTTATAGAGATGTCCTGGGTGACGCACCTTTATATTAAAAACTGCCCCTAATTTCTTATATTTGTACATTATTGATAGGATGCTTAAGCCACTGAAAGACTAATCTGAACTGGAATCAGTCTCGAAAAAGGAACCATGTATGTAAGTTACAGCTGCATGCATACGTGTACTCATACACTGTCACAGCACAAGAATAGTCATAGCCAACAGTCCCAAAGGGTGAAATAAAGGACTACTTCAGTGGTACAGTATGATAAACTATATTTATTAACTATATTTCATATACATACATACACACATCTAAATGATATAGTAAAAACATCATATTGTGATCATTTGGACAGATATTGCAATTGCAGTATGATCCATGATTAGTGTGGGGAGGATCATTTTTGTATTACAAATTTGATTTTCATTCAATTAAAATATTCAAATCATGATTATGTTACATTTGTAGGGGTTTGTATTAAATAAACCTGTTTTTTTAAAGCTAGAGAACAAGATTTGTAGACCAGGGCCCCTGTTCAGAACTACAGTACTTCATTATAATGCTGTTCGTCACACATTTCACCTTTATCAAAGATATTGCACTTGGCCATTTTATATCGATAACATTTCAATGAATTGTGCAGCCCTAATACACACACTTTAATACACACTTTTAATACAGGCACCATATTTACAAATGAGAAACATTACTGATCGAATAATGATTCTTAAATTAATAAATACATGAAAATGAAAAACTGAAAACTAATCAAAGTGAAGTGATCCTGGGGCTGTTGCCTCTCTTTGGATTAGTTTGCACATTGCGCCCTCTTGTGGTGGATAATGCTCACGACGCGCTTCCGCTTTTGCCTACGCAAGTTCCGGTTGTGCAGCAGCCATTTTGTCTGTTCGGGCAAGTCTACCCTGACGGTTACGAACTGCAGTTCCACCTTAGGAAACAATTTGAAATGTTGTTGTGGCACCTCTATTTCGTGTTATCTACAATCTGAGCTCTGTATAAAATTTATAGCACAATTTTACAAGCCGAAGAGGGCCCTCCTCTTCGAGATAAAGCCAAAATCCAGCGTGGAAAGCGCGGGTCAGCTGAGACATGTCGTGTGAAGAAAGCTACTTGGCCATCATACGCTATCTGACTGATGAACGGGAGCCATATGCGCCGGGGACGCCTGGCAATACCAAGAGAAAAATCCGTAAAGCGGCCACCTGCTACGTTGTACGGAACGGGACTTTGTTTTATCAGCGTCGACTGAAGGGCCAGAATGACTTCACGGAGCTGGAGGTGGTGCTGCAGGACGACCGGAGGAAGGAACTTATCAACGAGGCGCACATTATTGCCGAAGGAGGGGAGCACCTCAACCAGCAACTCACCTGGGAGTCCATCTCTCAGAAGTACTGGTGGAGAGGTAGGTTACCGGAGCCCGGTCCCGGCAGCTGGCTGTTCATTGGCACTGTGCGGTGATTCAACCAGCCGGGGAACCCGCGTAAACACGAGCCTGTAACAAATATAAATACGCCACCCGTCACAGCCGGCTGCTCTCTGTCTCCATCTGCTGGTTCTTTAAAGGGCTGCAGCCTCGTTAATACTCGGTCCTTATTAATGCCCACGGTTTAAACAGTGGTTCCCAACCGGGGGGAACTTCATTCCTGTGAGGAAAACTAAATGACTTAGAAGTTAAAAATGTCGTTAAAACAACTGTAATATTTACAGGAAACAATCTGCTTAAAATTCATCATATCGCTCGTTCGTACACAGACTTCCTGCAGTTACTGTGTTCACTGTTTGGGCTCATTGTACAGTGTATCAGTTGTTCCCTAGTGTTATTGATATGCATTGAATGTAATCTGAAATATCCGTAACGTCACATAGTCAGGGGCCATCAGTAGGGCTGCACAATTATCTAAATATTATCGAAATGGCAACATGACCAAGTGCAATATGCAAATCGCAAGAGCTGTAATGCTTCGATAAAAGGTCAAATGTGTGATAAAATAGCATTATAAATATAATAAATAATATATAGAAGTACTGTAGTGCTACAGAGGGGCCCTGGTGTACAAATATTGTTTTCCAGATTTAAGAAAACATGTTTGTTTGATACAAACCCCCAAAAATCACATCATTATGATTTTATGTTGCCAAATGTCAGTGAATTTGCACAAATCTGATTGCACGTGAATGCACCACTCAGACGTGTGAGTCATTTCTATACACAGTTTTTACTTGAGGCGATTATTTAAGCAAAAACATCTGGATATTGAAAATGAATGTTAGTTCCAGCCTCTGTGTTAATTGGAGTCGTTGAAAATGATGGTGTCCTGTGTTTTGGCAGGTATCCTGAAGAATGTGAAAGACCACATCAGAGAGTGTGCTCAGTGTCAGAGCAGGCGCAGTGCCGATGACGGCTCGGGACCTCGACTGTTCTCCCGGCCGGGCAGACGCAGAGCGGCTGTCAACCTGAACGATGAGGAGGATGAGGAAGAGGAGGAAGAAGGGGCGGATGATCATTTATTCCTCACCGACTCGTCTTGTCAGCTGAGGTCCAAGTTGGCAAAGACGATGGCCAAGCACGAACTGGTGTTTGTACGTATCACACTTTGCTGTTTCAGTCACAGAGATGTGATATTGTTTACTCTACAACTGAGTCTCTGTTGTTGTTGTTGTTGTGTATTGTGCGTTCGCTCTTTCCAGGTGGACAGCAAGGGTGAGGTCAATCAGTTCCTGCCTAAACACAGTCAGACGATGTTGGACAAACTCAACCAACAGCGCCTCAGCAATCAGTTCTGCGACATCACGCTGCTGATCGAGGGAGAGGAGTACCGTGCGCACAAAGCTGTGCTGGCAGCGTGCAGCGAATACTTCCACGAGCTCTTTTTTGAGAAGGGGGCTGCCTCCACACATGAAGCTGTGGTGGACCTCTCTGGTGAGACTTTGTGCTGTTCTCTGTGTCTGAATGTTTGGCGTAGCTGCTCAGTTTCAACCCTCAACCTTCTCTCTCTCCAGGTTTCACCAAACCCAGCTTCCTCCCGCTGCTGGATTTTGCGTACACGTCCCTGCTCACGTTTAATTTCTGCATAATGGCAGATATCGCCAACCTAGCCCGACATCTGCTGATGACCGAGGTGCTGCAGATATGCGAGTCGGTGCACAAGCAGGTGGAGGAGCAGAAGCTGACGGTGTACCAAAAAGGAGACGTGCACACCGTGTTGTCGAGCCAACCGGCTCCTCAGGAAGGCTTGAAAGACGACTCTGGGTCTTACATGGTCACCATAGAGAGCGATGGCAGGGCGGTGGTCACCCACAGCGGGGTTGCTGTTACAGGCGAGACGTTAGCTTTTGTTGCTCCTCCTGAAGAGGCCTACCTCCAGCAGCCCATGACAGTTGTCGCTGAAGCTGTAGAGGGAGGCAAAGAGCATCATGGGGAAGCTGCGCCGAGCGAAACAGTGACTCTGATCACTCACAGCGGACAGGCCGAGCCGGGAGAGACTGTCACTCTTATTTCACACATTGCAGAGGGGATGGAGGAGGAGACGATGACTGTGGTCACCCACAGTGGACAGGCTGGAGCCAGCGAGTCCCTCGCCGTAGTGTCGGCCTGCCTGGCGATGGAGCAGCCGCAGCCCGCTGAAGCAGGAGGCTTTGTCATAAATGTGGACCCAGACAAAGGGAGCCCCTCGGAGGTTGCCAAACTGGCGTCTGCAACCGCCCCCGAAGCTGCACCGCCACCTCAGGAGAAAGCAGAATCAGCGCCTGCACCCCAGAAACGTAAACGAGGGCGTCCAGCCAAGGTGAAGAAGGAGGTGGAGGTAGAGGAGTTTGTGCCGCTGGAGGAGGAGGACCCCTCTGCTGATGAAAGCCACGGAGACAAGCAGGAGACGGCGTCAGATGACCCCAACAAAAGACGACTCAGGCAGCGCTCTATAGCTGAGGGCGGTTATGCACGTTTACATATGGGGCTGGAGGAGGAAGAGGAGGGGAAGAAAGGTTCGACCTCGCCACGGGCCACCACCCCTAAGGTACAGTTACATTTCAATCAAGCGATGTATGTAAATGATTTTATTTTCTATGACGTGTTTTGTTAAGAGCGACAGACATCGAACGTGGTTGTGTTTGCAGGTGGGTCCGAGGCCAGGTAAAAGAGGAAGACCACCAAAGCAGCCAGTGGAGGTTCAGGGGGAAGTACAGTCTGTGACGGAGTCGGGGTCGGGGGCAGATCCAGAGGGCATTGCAGTGGAGAGCGTGCCGATAGAAGAGCCCAGCACAGACGAGGCTGGGATGAAGGTGGCAAAGCCAGAGACCGCAAGCAAGCAGGATCAAACGCCGACGGAGAGCGCGGTGGATGGAGAGCACACGTGCTCCGAGTGCGGCATGTCCTTCCCGAGACGCTACTCTCTCATTATGCACACGCTAAAACACGAGAAAGCGCGTGGATACAAGTGCAGCGTGAGTATTGGCGTTGATTAGCATGTCACGTTTAATTGCTCATGCTGTGAGAACGTGCCGACCGTGCTGTTTCTGTGTCCCTGTAGCTGTGTAGCAAAGAGTTCCAGTACGCCGCCTCACTTCGCGCCCACCTGGCCCGACACAAGCAGCAGAGCAGCCAGCGAGCGCCCGTCACCAAACCCTCTGCCGAACAGAGCTCCGAGAGCAAGGTGGACAGCGATCTGGAGGACAAGACGTTATCGCCACACACCAAACGGGAATTTGTGTGCGACATCTGCGGGAAGACCCTACCGAAGCTCTACTCACTGCGGATCCACATGCTGAACCACACGGGCGTGCGGCCTCACTCCTGCAAGGTCTGCGGCAAGACGTTCGCCCACAAACACAGCCTGAAGATGCACAGAGCGCTGCACGACGTCACCAAACAGTTCCAGTGCGAATTCTGTAAGAAGTCTTTTGTGAGCAAGCGGAGCATGGAGGAGCACACCAGCGTCCACACAGGTCAGCGTGCCTCCAGTTCAGTGTCCTTAAAGGGTCCCATCACACAAACCAAATGTGCTCTCATGGAATGTCTCATGGTTTTGGTTTCATTTGTGCAGGGTTTGAGGTTTCTGTCTCTGCCACTCCAAGAAATGTGAGAGAGACAGACATCTTAAAACCCATGTGGATACATTTCAAAGTGATGCGCAGCAGGACAGCGCTAACCAGAAGTGAGGGGATGTTTTTTTGGATGGGCAAGCTGACCCTTTTTCACCATGATATCCCTTAAAGGTTATATATATATATATACTAAATTCAGACACTAGACACTAGCACCAGCATCTCGGACCAAAACAAGGGATTCCATAGACAAAACCTTTTTACCTCGCAGATAGTCTTAAAACACACTTCAAACTGGACAGAAACAAATAAAACTTGGTTAGATGTGACAATATTTGTGAAAAGCGCTGCAGTAGTGATGGCAACGTAAACAAATCCTTAGGAACAAATCTGCCCGTCAAAGTACGTCCACTTAAATTTCTTGTTTAGTCACTGATAGACTCCGGTTGTTATTCTAAGTGTCATTGCGGACTACTGTGACCTCATTATATCGCTCGCCATACTCGTATCATCGTAACGTCATAACTTTATACAACGGGGACAGAAACAAGATAAAACTCACCTAGTCTTTCTACTGTTCCGCTGTTGCTCGTAATAAATCCTTAATTCACAGACGTAGGTGAGAAGAACAGAAGTTTCAGATTCTGTGTTCAGTTGTACACTGAGGGACTGACCACATTTGTAAACAAACCACAGAGAGGCTGCAGTAACAACATCATTTTCTGCTCACCATGACTCCACTATTTCTTTACACAGTAAATGGTTGTTAGCTTCTATATTAATGTTTATATCTCATATAACCTTTTCAACAGGTGAATCAAAGTATCTATGCAACACGTGTGGAGCAACTTTCCATCGAGCCTCAGCTTTGAGCAAACACCTGAAGAAGCACCAACCCAAACCCGACGTCCGTCCATTTGCCTGCACTCAGTGAGTAACTGTTCCTCTCTCTCACTGATGTCACATGACTCGAGGCATACAGTGGGATGATGGTTAAATGTTTTTTCTCATGTTACCTGCAGCTGCGATAAGAGGTTCTATGAAGCCAAAGATCTCCAGCAGCACATGAACAAGCACATGGGCCTGAAGCCGTTCCAGTGCCAGGTGTGTGGGAAATGCTACAGCTGGAAGAAGGACTGGTACTCCCACGTCAAGTCCCACAGCGTGGCGGAGCCCTTTAAGTGAGTGCTTTTGTGAACACGCCACCCAGAAGTGTGTCTGGCTACTGGGAGTCTGCATGTTGATCACGTTAATGTGTCTCCTCAGGTGTAATGTGTGTGGGAAGGAGTTCTTTGAGAAGGCTCTGTTCAGGAGGCACGTGAAGAAAGCCACGCACGGGAAGAAGGGCCGAGTAAAGCAGAACCTGGAGAGGGAGTGTGAGCAGTGTGGGAGAAAGTTCACTCAGCTGCGGGAGTACAGACGCCACGTCAACAACCACCAGGGTGAGACTCCTAACAGGACAGGAAGAGACAATCCCGTCTTTGTGGAAGCTCGTTTTCATTATGTGTGTTTCTCCCTTCCTCCCTCTCTCCTAGGAGTGAAGCCATTTGAGTGTCTGACTTGTGGCGTCGCCTGGGCCGACGCCAGGTCTCTCAAGCGCCACGTCCGCACGCACACAGGAGAGCGACCGTACGTATGCCCCATGTGCCAGGAGGCCCACATCGACGCACGCACCCTCCGCAAACACATGGCCAAGTACCACGGGGACAACCTGCCCGGGAAGATCATGCTGGAGAAAGACACCCTCCAGTTCCACAACCAGGGCACCCAGGTGGAGCACGCCGTCAGCATCCTGGCGTCCGAGCTGCCCCCCGAGCTCCGGCCGGCGCAGCAGCAGCCCTCGGAGGAGATCGAGACGGTGCTGATCACGGAGGAGACGGTGGAGGCCGTGGAGGCGGTGCAGGCCGTGGAGGCTGCGGGCGACGGCTCGGTGGCGACGCTCTCAGATCAGGGCATCATGCAGGTCGTGAACTACGTCCTGGCCCAGCAGGCACTCACAGAGGCCAAGCTCGAGGAAGCGCCCGAGGTGATTCAGACCATGGAGGTGGAGGTCGCTCACGTGGCCGAGGTGGAGTAACTCTGCGGCAGACGCCGGGATTCCCACACAGACTGATCACACTGATTCTCACAGTCTGTATAAAATGTAACAGAATGTAAAAAGATGACTATTTTTTTTGAAAATGTAAATATCGTAAGTGAACCGTGAGTATTGTCTGTTCAGATCTGTGTTGGACAAGTTGTGACATTTCTATGTTCTATGTAAATAGCTAGATATACAGTAACAAGATTGAGTTACACATCTATGAAATTTGGCACTCAGGAGAAATAAAGGTAGGAATTAAGACGCTTGCTTTGGCTAAATGTATTTTACCCCGTCATCTCTCCATCTTATTGCTTATGGTGCTGACAGAGAAAAGCTGAGACTTTACTGTTGCAGAGTTCTCTACTCCCCCTAGTGTCGGCTTGAAGGATGAGCAAATAAAAAAATGTCTACCTTTTGTTGGTCATTTCAGCGTCAGTGTCAGTTACATTCTTCTCCACTCAGCTGCCTTACAACAGTGCTCTCAGTCTTTTTGTTGTCAAGGACCCTCAGACTGATACATGTAAGGCCTCAGACCTGAATTTGATTAGATGTAGTCCCAGGGATCCAGCTGGTAAGATTTAGTTATTCCATAACTGTCTATATCAGCAGCACAAAGTTGACATTTAGATGACTTCAATATGGAATGTAATACTAAAAATGTATATTTATCGATATTGATTCCACCCTCAGAGTCAGTGATATTCATTTAATTGAACAGAATTGTGGCTGGTGGTTTAACCTGCTTGACAGTGTTAAACTGTAAAAATAAATTCATATTTAAATGAAGCTGTAGATAAAATAATTTGACACAAAGGAGTATTAACATGCAATACAGCAAGTATGGATATTTATTTCAGATTTATATCAAAATACCCTCAGTATATTGCAACATATTTACAATACATTGTACAAAAATATGAAACTGCAGATGGTGTCTGCTTTCGAACAGTTCTGGCTACTTGAAACAAGTTTGAAAAGGGTCTATGGGGTAGTGTAGGTACACACATACTGTTTGCACGCCTTTGAATTAATACAAACATTGTTCTTACTGGTAAAGCTACCAGGCAATATTCACATCAGTATGCTTTGTTCTTTAGGGAGACTTTCAAAAACAGAACTATACAAATTTATATACATTTATATCATAGGTTCTGGCCAGTTGTCAAATGAAATAAACCTCTACCAAAACATATTTCATGAGTAAAAAAAATACTTGTGCTAAGCATCCAGCAAGAGCAAAAGTCTGCTCTTAAAATGCAATCAACTACTTTTGCACAGCAGTAAAACAAGAGCAACAAACACAGAAGGACATCAGTCATAGTATTTTACTGTAAAACACTGGGTCAAGAACATTAGGCCTATATATGGCTACATCAAATGAATGACCATTTGTCACTTAAACACACATACTTCACAACCTGACACAAAAAGATGATGCATTGGTCTCACAACAGACATAAAACAGTAAAATATAGAAAGTACAGCAGAAAAACAAACTGCCCATCAATTGACATAATACTTCTGACAGGAAATGTTTGAAATGTATACAATCAATGCTGACTTCTGCCACAAATGAACACCAGTGTACCTGACTAACTTGTACAACCATAATGGTGAAAACTTAGAAGTCTATTAAAAATTAAAATACACTTTTGCTATGGCCCATAGCAGAAATATAAGCCCTACTAAGAAGCCCTCTAATGCAAGTTTTGTTTCCAGTCATGCTTTTACATGGGAATGAATCATGAACACTTATTAACTCAAAGCAATCTTGAAATCCTCAGCATTTCTTAAGTGCTCTCAAGAAATTAGAACATAATAAAATGCACCCTTGATCAACACCATTTATTTCTCCTCTGCAACGACAACCAGAACAATAATGAAAATAAGTGCATTTCTATTTGAATATGTATTTTGTTCTCAGCAGTATTTGCACTAATACCACCTTTTCAAATGAAATGTTCCAACAGCAGGCGTGAAATGAGAAATGGGAACATCGAGAAGAGGACAGATGTCTTACTCTCCCTCCTCCTTGATGCGCTGCTGTTTGTTGCGGCGAGAATCCAGGTCAAAAGAGAAGTCAGACCACTCGTCGCGCGGCGGGAAGGAGATGGTCTGGCGCAGGGTGAAGCGTACGGCGTCGATGACGCGCTCGCCTCGGGCCTCGGAGGAGCCCACACTGACGGTGGAGGCCCCGCTGGTGGTGCGCACTATGTGGGGAGGTGGGGAAAAATCCATGGCCTGTCGGTGCTCCATGATGCCCTTCCAGATGATGTGCTGGAACTCTGCGGGGATCTTCAGCCTGGACAGGTCCTAATGGTCATTACACAGGGGAGCGTTAGTATTCGCAGGGGAGGCCACTCTTCTCTCTAACCCATCATATGACTCGTGTTGGATAGGCAAGGGCTCACCTCCATGTTATAGTTCTCAATCTGGTAGATGTTGCTTAGGCCCTGTGCTGTGAAGTAGTCCAAGCAGCCTGCGCAGCCCAGCCGTATAAGGAAGCTGTGGGAGGAAGAGAGGAGGAGGTTCAAACTGATGTTCACTGACTCAGTGTTCATATAGTTCATGTATCAATCTATCACTCTACTCAAGACTTTGTAAGACCTGCTTTTATACTGATCAGAATATCTCTATGTTTAGCATATTAAGCACAATGTGATTAGAGTTAATACACTTATTTAAAGTTAGTTTTGTGGAGGCAAAAATATTTAAGGCAAATATAAATAAAATACATGTAAAACAATATGTTTTATAACAATTTAAGGCCTGGATGGCTGCTAAATTCATCTAATTCTTCTGGCATATTGGCAGCATAAAAATGTTCTGTACATTTAGAGACAGAAAGGTAAAAAGTTTGCACAATGTTATGCCCTCTTTTTGTCTATTTTATTAACTGTACAACATTTGATAAATCAGATCTTCATCAGGCACAAAAAAGCAGGAGCAAACATTACGTACTTATTATTTATCTGATCCATTTAGAATTTGGTTTAAAACTATAATTTAGTTTTACTTCTTATAATTTATGACCTTTTTGTTTTATTTTATAGTCCTTCACACATCTTTTTATTTTTAATATAATGTGATGTTTGTTTGTGCTGTTTTGTGCCTGATGAAGATCTGACAGATGGAAACGTTGATGGAAACGCATCGTGGGAGCAAGTAACAGTGTGTGGATTCTACGTCTTGCCTCAGTGTCCCCTGCTGCTGAGGAGGTCATTTATATTTTATTGCACTATATATTTATTGGTTTTCTGCCTAGTGAACCGTGTTGTTTTTAAAGTGCTATATAAAGTTTTTACGAATTTCAAACTGAACTCAGGGAGAAGAAAAAATGTAGATGTGTCCCGCTGTGGATTTGTGAGGTACCTGGAGATGCTGCTGTCCATTGGGTATGGAGGAGGGGGAGTACAGTGGGAGGAAGGCACCATGGGTAGCTGTGGCTGCAGTGCGTGTGTGGGGCTCAGTGAACTCATGTCAGCGTTCATGGGGATGTGAGTGCCCATCATAGGAGACACTGCAGAGACAAAAGGAGCTACTGTGAGCTTTATCTTACTGCTCTGGGATTTAGAGATTACGTAACGTCAACTGAAACACATGGGGGTGGGAGGGGAGGGGGGCATGCAGAGGTTACTCTTAACATGACACATAATGCATCATAACAGGTCCTGCGGGAGAGTCTCACAGGGATCACATTCTTTTGGAGTAGGAAGCTTTCTGTCGGGAGGTGGGGGGGAGGCTGGGGTCTGAGAGGTGTTCAGGTCCCCTCCTGCCTGCCCCGACATGCTGCTTTTATAAGTATACAATAAGCCCAGGAGGGACGGGGCGACTGGTGGAGAGGGGGGGAGACACGGACTGAGATAGACAGGATGAGAAACAAAGGGGCACACTTACTGTCAGTCAGGCCTCCAGACATGCTGGATGGGGTGAGTGTGTTACGCTGCTGGGGGTTCATGAGCTGGCTGACAGAGGGCAGCTTGTTGACTTTTCCGTGAGTTGGGGAGCAGGAGCCGTAGGAGGGCTGAGACGGCATTGAAGTCCTGGGGCGGGAGAGAGGAGGTTACCATCAGCGCTCAGCAGCACTCAGACTTAATGACAAAGGCCTGGTCACTATTGTCCTTTAATGGAAACAATAATAACTATTCTGACCACAGACTATTACAGTAATTAAACTAAAGTTTGGGGCACAAAGAGAGAGAGGTGTCCTCTGCATACTGACCACATGTTTTAATGGTGGAATAGCAGAGCAGTAAAAGGACAGAGTTCAAGCAACAAAAAAAAGCCATTTATTATGTTCCAACAGACAAAAGTGCAGCAGCCACAAAAATACGATCTGTTTCAAACAGAATGGTCACAGAGGCAAATCTGCTCCGTACATCCCAGAGTGCACATCTGCAGTTCAAAACAAACACACAAACTGTCCTGCAGTGACTTTAGAAAACATGACCAGCATTAGCAAAACGTTATCTCAATAATAATAAAAGTCTCTTTCCCCCAGAAAACCCCACAAGGTAGATTTTGTGAGTCCAGCTCTCATGACGATGCAAAGGCACAAACACATTCACTTCTCTGTAGGTCAAGTAAGATAGAAAAACAGACATTTAAGCTTGGTTCCTGTCCAACTTCAGCCATCATAAAAGGCTGAATGGGATGAACGTTTCACAGACACTCTATGCAACACATTAATGACACAGAGAGGATGCCATCACAATAGACAACCCCCGCAAAATATCCCTTTTTATAGACAAAAAATAACACATGCAAACCAGTCTTCAAATCATAATGAATTTAAAAGGCCACTTCAGTAGAGCCAGTAGGCAGGAGTGGATAAACAAAAGCTCTGTCCAGCATGTAGAGCCACAGCCTACATGTCACCCTGATACTGCTAATAATGGCTGAAAACAATGAAGAAGAGATAATCCATGATGTTGGAGCAGCAACAGGTGATAAAAACAGGAAGTTTGAGTGTCAAATCCTCAGTGCAGAATCCCAGGAAAAGGCAGAAAGGGAGGAGACCAGAAAAATCAAAGTTGATAAAAAGGAGACAGAGAGGAGGTCCGTGTAACTCAGGAGGAGGAGGAGGAGGAGGAGGAGGAGGAATGTGGAGCAGAGTTTCAGGAGGAGCTGCAGCGCCGCCTCTGCTCTCCTGCAGGTTCCATGAGCTGGCTACCAAGACGGGTTTTTATCAGACTGCAGGGAGGAACCAGAAAGAAGAGAGAGAGCAGAAATAAGGGCTCACTGACAGAGGAGGAGAGAGGAGTGACCCCAGAGAGGCCCAGAGGTTCAGAAAAGTTAAAAAAAGAGAGAACTTCACAAAGTTTGTGTGACAGACAACATTCTGCACTACTGACACTGTCCAGAAGATGGCACTCTACAAACACAGATAACAGCATCTCAGTGCTCATGTGTTATTTCACAATTACACAGTGAAGGAAAGAAAAAGGCCTGGAAACATTTGCTGCTGACAGAACCTTTTATTTCAAAGGCTGCGAGAGGAACAATGTAGGAGTGGTAAATTACACAAGAGAGAAACAAGCTATGAGGATTTTAAGAATTTAAACACAGAAAACTAAGAAAAACATGCACGATAACCAAATTAAGAAGAGCAAATATAAAGAGAAATATTCCCTTCCAATATTCAGACTTAAAATATTATTTAGAATCTAAAGTGTTCAATAAATCCACTAAAACCTGAATTTCATTTAGATTTTTGTTAAATGTCATAATCTCAAATATGGTTATAAAATTTTTGTTAATTACATTTACCAATACTTTATGGGCTGACAGCAACAGGTAGCCAACAACAAACAGCAATGGAGTAAAAACCAGCGAATGCAAGCATTATCTCACTGTGAGGCTGTCTGCCAGTCTCTTAATGGGAAACTATAACATAAGCAATAATTATCATCGTGGGGCTGTCAAACTATCATTTACACCCATCTCCTCTTTTCCATAGCTTATAGTGAAATGGGCGTGGATGAGGAAAAGTGTGTGTGAACATGTGCGTCTCAGACAGTTTTAATTATGCTCAAACGAATAGATAAGGCTGTGGCACGGACTTTGTTGAGTGCTGTTGTGTAAAAACCTGGCAAAGCACCCAAAGGCGTTACCACCAATCTTTGGAAGCTTCTCCTTAACAAAGCATAGCCAGGTACATTTGTCACGATTCATCAGCTCTGGCTCATGTCCCATGAGAGAGCAGAGGAGAAAAAAAAAAACAGCTCTACTTCATGCAAGGCTCACCCTCTGGGTTGGAAGCTTTGAGCACATTCTAGATAAACTCAGCTGAATGACTTCCATTTTAGAGCAATTATTATCAGCTTTTATATGATAGCTGCTTCAGTGGCAGCAATAAATGGAATCAAGAAATCTCATGCATAGTCTTTATCAGTGCAATCCACTGTTCCAGCAACAAGTCAGTCACGTTAAGTCAGTTAAATCACTGCAGTCTATTCAAAACAAAAACAATGTCATCCAAAAAAACAAAAAAGCTTCCGTGCAAGCAAACCAGAGATTGAGGAAGCAAAGCTAAAAAGAAAAGCAGCACAAGGAATACTAGTCCACTTGAAACCAAGGGTGAGCCTTGCAAGTCTTGTAGGTCTGTCTTTCATAATGAGCCTGAGAACAAATGAGCATCACTTTATAATGAATCTGAACGGGTACTCACTGTTTCTGAAGGAGATTCTGCTGCTGCTGCCTGTATGACTCTATAGTGTGCTGTGGCAGAAACTGCATGAGTTCCAGAGACTCTTTGATTTTTACCAAAATCTCATAAATTTCACGGCCTTTGATCTATAAGAAAGAAAAGAAAAGAACGTCAGTAAGCGGCTCAGATGCACTCAACAATGGTTTGAAGCAATTCCCTGAAAAAGCAGAGTGCCACTTACAGGCAAACAAAAAACCTCCTCATCTGTAGATCTTCTCTTCTTGATGGTGGACATCTGTATGCCATGGGAGACCTGGCGGAAGGCTGAAACAAGAGGGGAGTAAAGTGTGAGTACCACTGGCTAACGTGCTGAACAGTTAGTCTAAGCCAGAGCAGAAGGGGGAAACAAGCAAGGGAAAGAGTAGCGGAGAGTTGTGTTAGTGAATGCAGCGGTTGAGGGTCCTCGACACAGGCAGCCTGTCGGGTAAGACCAAAGCTTGTCAGCCCACCACCAGCCCCAGCCCTACTTACGGCGCTTCATACCGTCACTGCTCTTTGTGGCATCCGTTACATGCTGCTTGCGGATGCTGTCCTCGTCCGCCTTCCGGTCTCGGCCCGGGCAGGCACAGATCCTGGCCTCGAAGCACCGGCGGCCTAATACCTGACCACTGGGAGAAGACAGGGACACACAGCGGGTCAAAAACAGTCCCGCCGCTGCACTGGAGGCACGGCAGGCAATCACTGAGGGTAAGGGTGTCTCTTACTCTCTGGTTTCCAGAGTGACAATGATGAGAATTGGGCGTCTGTTCATTCCACCCACGCAGCTCGAGTTGCACATGAAGTTGTACAGAATTGTGGTAAATTCTGTCCCCACCTGAGAAAAGAGGACGACACTGACGGTGAGTGACATCGCTGGGTGACACCAAAGAAACAGTTTTCTTCTCTAAGTTACATGCACAGACACAACCTGGTTAAACCTGCATCTAAATCACTCACTAATAATAATTCTCTATTTTAGGTTTGTGATGCAGCTTTTTTTGGAGCATTTAGCGTAGTGGGAAACCAGGCTCTAAAGAGAGTTTTTGAATGTTTTTGGATAAAAGGACACATATCTTTTGTCATGCAGAGGCACACGTCTACTTCTTGAGCATATGCATGGCAGGGAAATCAGGTTTCTCCTGCTTAACTTTGGTTTTTGAGTCAATTACAGCTGCACAACAGAGCACAGTTTAATATTTAGACATTATTTAAACATCACAACTACTGGTGAGTGTAAAACAGATCCATCACCTTGTCAAAGTTATTGGCTCAAATGGTGAAACCATACTCGTATCCACAAGAGACACGGCCTACTAAGAAAGAGTTAAAGCTTATAAAGGGGACACTTGAACTAGAATTATGGGGTTTAAAATATTAGAAAAATAAAAGACAGACAAACAGGACTATTTCCTTCTGAGGCCTGCATTGAGGTGGAGTAGTGTTCATACTGAGGGGCTTTAGGGGACTGAGTGGCTGGACGTTAGAGGCCAGGCTCTCAGAAGGGCTCTGTCACTGCTCTATCTGTCAGTGCGGGCTGAGGTGGTGAGGTGTCGCTGACGGGGCATTCAGCTGGCCTCGCTCCATGATGACAGACAGCTCACCTGGGGAGGCTCGTAAGGAACTAATACACTCTGTCTTCCAGTGATGGTGTCCTCCACGTACTGGGCGTGGTTGTTTCCCTCCACACGGATCAGGTGGCTCGGAGGAGCTATCTGACCTGGAAGCCAGAGGAGTCGTGTGATTAAATGTGGACAGCAAATAACTGAGGTCACTGAGGTGAAACATGGGGCACAACTTAGTCTTCAATAAATGAAAAGAACTGACCGTCATTGAACTCGCGGCTCAGCTCGTGGTTCGGGCAGCGTTTCACCACCTCGGTCACATGTTCGGCTTTCTTGTAAACGGGCATGGCTCTGATAACAGCCCCCTGTGGTGGGGTGGTCAGAACTTTGATCTGGATGGGACATGTCTTGGCAATTTGGCAGTATAACTTCTTCAGGTCTGTTGAGTACTGGAAAAGAGAATATACAAGAAAAAAAGATTATATTAAACCGCAGATAAAACGATAAAAACAATATTTGCTGAGAAAAGTTCAAACTGTTTTGAGGCTTCAAAACATTTTTGCCTAAATTGTAAAAGCACAGATCGACCTCTGTAACACCTGTTGCCTGGACTCTGCACTTCTGGTTCTCCCTGAAGCAAAAAGGGTTAAAGACAAGACTGTGATTATGACCTACTTAAATAAACACACAACTTCTGGTGCTACGGGTGTGTATTGGGCAACCTCAAAGATGTCTCGCTGAGAGCCTCTGGGACTTCCGAGGAGCACCATAAAATGGACCCCTCCAGCAGCAATTAAACTGGGCCTGGCTTTCATCTTCAAGGGAGGAGTATTCTGCTAAAGCATCTGATGGCCACTCATCATACAGAACGAAGCTTCAGAAGAGGGAACGCTACCCAAGGTTGAGTGCAGTTTTCCTCGTGGGGTTGGATGAAAATGACTCAGTTTTTAGGAGTTATAGACGATCCATCTGCGACTGCTGCCAAAGTGCGATGGCTGCTCACACAAACTGGCTCAAATTCAAGTTTTTTAAGCCAGGAGTCATGAATAATGAATGTACCTTGATCCCCTGGCACTGTTAGAATTGATAACCAGTAAGCCATCAGAAAGACTGAATTGTTACTAATAGGCATAACCCAACTGTGTAAACAAACCATTCAAATCAGTGCTGTGTAAGCACAGCCTTAAACCCTCTATGTGCAGGATACACTGGGTGGAGGGGGAAATTTTCCTGTCAGGTTCATTTCTTAGTGAAGAAAAGTGAACATTGTGAAAACTGCTTGGGGCTGTGTTGGAGAACAATGCAACATAAAATTCCACCTCTATTAAGTGCGGTTGCAAAGAAAAGGAGCTCATCCCAGTACCGTCTGTGCTGACTTTAAATATTACACAAGCTTGGCACGGACATTTTCTGCTCTGCTCCCCAGGCACAACCTTTCCTTTCATCAGGACAAACCCAAAACAGTACCTCTCGTTCCCATACTCTCGCTCACAGAACTACACACGTTACTGCTGTGCATTTCACCCAGAGATTGGATCCACTAATAAAGGCGGGTTAATAATAACCCAAATTCTCAGCTACGCTCCTTTCCTCAAGTGACCTCATTACAGACTGTACATGCACAGGATGAACTGACACAGCACTGCATAGTGCTGCTAATATTCACTGCTAGAAAGTTAAGATAATGTTCAGTTTTGAAGCAGGCAGTAAGGTTATACTAATAAAATCAGTGTCAAGTGTTCTGATTTGCCATAAATACATCAAGTTAACATAATAATGACTGATGAGCACAGTTCAAGCTCTGGGACATGTACGTCAACACAATGACTGAACTGACTCTTCCTTAAAATCAAAGCAGCCTTTCAAAAAAAAAAAAAAAAAGCCTAAGATGAATGGTTGCAGTCGTCCCCTCGCTCCTAACCTGATACTCCCCGTACGCCTCTGTCACTCAGCTAAATGAGGTGGAGAAGCCAAGCAGAGAGATGGGGGAAAGAGCAAAAGAGAAAGAGAGGGCAGCTGACTATGAGGCAGCAGAGAGAAAGAGAGAGAGAGAGATGTGCTGTGTAAAGGGTCAGTACGTAGTGTTTTAAATAATTACAGGGTGCTGGTTTTGTGTAGCTGAACAACTCAGAGCACTAAGATCTAATGAAAGCTGTTAGAGGCAGAAAAACAAAGTTTGTTTAGATCATACCCTACTGTCTCAAACTAGCATATACACATACGCACACACACACATAAACACCAGAGAACCATCCCAGCCCTGAAGCTACAAACTTTAAGCACACAACTATGTGCCGCTGGTGCTGTTTGCTCAGCAGTGAGAGCAGGAGCTGCTGCTGATTGCTGAAAGCAGTGCGGCAAAGAAAGCTAACACTGTTCAGGGTGGAGGACAGCCAGTTGACTGATGGGATTCAGTGGCTCACACAGGGTGCGGTGCTCAGGTGTTAACATGTAATTATGAGCCTTTCATTGGTCACAATGTGAATTGCGCAGCCAAGGAACACACAGTGCACAATACAGAGCTGCTTAATCACAATCATTTGAAAGAAAACTGTTCTAAAGTGTTTGCAAGAACCACACGTGACACATTTGCTTTCAACTGGCACATATGGCAGCGGGGTGTAGGAAGAAAATAGTGAATGACCTGAAGTGGCTCACAACCTACTCTGACTGCTGCTGTAACTCTGCTGGACAAAACAAAATAACCCACTGACTCCTCTGCAGCTTGGATGCTGCTGTAATAATGAAAATATGTTCTTATGATAATCTGACTGCATGCAACATACAAATTGTTCTGATGCTTGTACAGTGCTGCATGTGTACAATTACTTTCTAACACATGCAACACTTGAACACACAAACACACACATACACTTCCCGTTCAGCACAGGTTGAGGCAGGCCCACAGCTGTAGCGTTCTTTTCTCCCTGACAGGCGCTGCGGGCGCATGCAGAAGTCAAGTCCTGACAAACATCAGGCCTTAAACAAGCACTGTTTGGCGCCTCTGGTCTTGTCTTCTTCATACCTGACATGTCATGTCATGCCTAAAGCTTCTCCCAAACCTGTTTAATTCAACAATAACGCAAAGGTTTTTTTTTCCTTCTCTTTTCTCTGAAACTGAAGTAAAACCTGCTTCCTGGGAGAAAATGAATATGGGGTAAAATGTAAAGCTTTATAGTATAATTACCATTCTCTATACTTTATTCTTAAAAAAAAAAGAAATGTTATGTTGCAGTCATCAGCACCAACCTTGACCACACAATCTCAGTGATGATACCTGTCCCGAGGCAGACCTGTACACTGACATGTGCCTTAATTTTATGAAGCCAGTGCTGAGAGAGTCCAACATACATCTGTCACTCTTGGGATTAACCGATCAGACCCTTGTCTTCAAAAGCAAATGACTGTAACTACAACTGAGTTCAGTGCATTTGAAACCGAAAATAAAAGCCAACGGATGGGAAGACATGAAAAAAAAATCCTCCAACCTCCCTCAAAAGCTGAAACTTATTTTTAAATCACTAAAATGATTGTGATGTTCTCCTTGAAGGAAGCATTGAAGCTGCAATCATGTTTGTTTTATTCTAAAGTTCAGTCATAACTCTACAGTGATTTCTGTTTTGAAAGGATTTGGTTAGTTCTGATCATTTTCTCCTGATGACAGACTAATATCTTTTCTTGTTTTCATACAACTACAGCATGATCCTGTTTTCTGTTGAAGTAAATCATCGCTGCAGGTATGTGTACAGGGTTGTTTGTTAGGGGTAAAAAAGAATCTTGTAATCTAAACTGTAAGAGAATGGGCTTTTCCACACCAATTATGGCGAAATCCCATAGCCCATATCATAAAAAACCTTTTCAACCTTTAAAAAATTTCCCCTCTACCTTTTCCCATCTGTAGCTTTTAGGGCTTGTCTCCCTGTGATGGGCGAGTCGTGACAAGCTTCTTGACACAAACAAGTCTCAGCCCCATCTCGTGAGGCGTGGGACGGGCCCGCAGATGTTCCAGGGGCAAGCTGCGTCTTGCCGCCTTTCGCTAGAACACTCTTCTCTTTGAGCATTCAAGGGCTCTCCTCCTCCTCCTCCTCCTCCTCCTCCTCCTCCGGCGCAATGTGAGATGCAACCATCAAGCTTAACTCTCTCAAAAAGACAGAGCCCACTCCAAGAGCACAGGGTTCAGGAAAGAGGCACACAGTATTTACACAAGTATTATCTACAGGCCCTCAATCCATTACTGTAATCCCCCAAGCTCTACAGCGTCCCAGTGATAGCCCACACCATGACATTCCTCTCCTTTGACTACGATACGTGGTGGCAGTTAAAACACATGGCAAACACAACCAATCTTCAGCCTCACAATAGCAATCAGTAGCCAACAATGGCGGCCTCATTTGCGACACCCCATTAATTTAGTAAAGCAAAGAAGATAAAACATCTCTAACCCGAGTATTCATTTGACCTGGCCGAGTGTTTTTTTTTTTTTTTTGACTGTATGATAAAAGAGGAAGCACCATGCGGACTGTAGGAGGAGAAAACTGTGTGGGAGCAATTCTGGGAAATGTTGACGTGTTGCACCTTTGTGTGTGTGTGTGTGTGTGTGTCACAGTCATCCTAGACAGGAAGAGGTTAAGGTGTGGGTTAGGGATTAGGTGTGTCTCCATAAGAACAGTCATCAAAAAGCACAGTACACAGTCCACTAAGTCCCGTGGAAGATCCCACAGGCCTTCAAAAAGGGGGGCATTAGCGGATCTATGCACAGAGCAAAGCTGTGGCGGTGACATCTTTAGTGGCTCTGTGCCATCGGTCCAGCGGTCCAGCAGTTGAGCTATTGGGTTGAGATTATGTGAGCTTTGCGAAAGATCTCCTGAGATCAGGTGAGGGAGCCTCCTTCACGATGGGAACCAACACTATAATCACAATTCTTTACAAGTGGGTTGACTGCTGCTGTAGACCACTCTCTATGAGCCATTATGGGAAATGAGCAGCAGCAAAACAAAACAATGTTCACTGAGGCCGAATTGTGACAACTACTCTTTGGCAGGATTAAGTGATGGCATTTTGCAGTTACGTAAGGCATCTTTAGTGACGTTTAACCTGGCCACTAAATGAGAAAACAACTCTGAGACAGTATTGATATGTTGTTTGACTGTTTTTAGATGCAGTTTTGTACAAAATTAGAAACTAGTAAATAAAGGAAGGAAGGAAGTGCGAGAGCCTTTCTGTAGCTCATCCACTAACACAGCAGACTAAGTTCATAATAAATTTTATATTCTATTCTATATATATCATGCAAAGACAATTAACTCAACATAGATGAGTTAATAGTGACACAGGTCAGATGTGCCACCAGATTTTTTTTTAATTCATATTTTTATTTTATTGCTTTATATATTGGTTTCACATCTTCAAGATCTGAAAGTTGCAGCTGGGACAATAAGAGGTACTACCAGACTACAAAGACATTTTTAAATTAAGTATGTAAAATTTCTCCTTTTTTGTTTATTTTTAGATAATTATCACTAAAATGAGTAACTATGAAGTGTCAGGGAAAGACATACACTTTACTTTGTTGATAATAAGTAAGAATCCACTACTTTTCCACGTTAAGTCAGACCAATCAAACCAGTCTTGCATCATGTGTTATGACTATAGGACAAACTACATGCGTCTATAATGAGGATGTGTCCTAAAACCAGTGTGGCTCAGGCTGTGGGGCGTGCCTCTCACAAACCACACTCTTAACTTCCTCACAGTTGCACAGCAGACAAACACTTTTGTTTTTGGACTGTGAAAATGAGAGGGATGAGTGAGGCAGTGTGGGAATTGGGTAAATGTCACAGTCCCACACTCGGCGTGGCCAAGGAATCGGTGAGATCGCCCAGCACTCCCTGAGTTCAGCCTGTTTACTTTGAAGGCACAGTGCATTAAATTCACTGCATTAAGCTCAGCAGGTTTTACTGCGGAGTCCCTCTGGACAAATCTGACAGGGATCATATGTTATTTATAAATCTCACACTAATGACAGACCTTTTTAATGATCATTCCCATTTGAAATGTCTCATCCAAAGTTCCCATCTGCAAATACTTGATTGTAATGTAGGTCTATTATGTAAATTGGCAACATGTCACATATAGTCTAAGAAGCAAATCACGCAACTGTGACATCTCGATTATTGCTCAGGGACCCAATTACATACAAGGACAAAACTTGTCACCTACGATTGTCCGCTAGGGTGCATTGAAACACTGAACTTGTAGTTACAGTGTCTGCACACAGCAGTGCACATCAGACGCATAAACAACTGAGCAGGTGGGGCTCTGAGGCAACAGCTGTCCCTCAGTCCTGTCAAACGTAATGACAGAGCAGGAGGAGCTGGTTGTGTAGGTTTATGGAGCATCACATGGTGACATCTAGCTGTGCAAGACATCACCACACCTGGACCAACTGTTGAGCTTGTTTACCTCTGTCATCAACAAACTACCAGTGAACATTACCCAAGTTGTGTGTAAACTGGAGTTTGAACATTACTGGAATGTGATCAGTAAATTTCAACATCCGTGCACATTATTCATAGATCAAGGATCACATGTGAAAGATAAGTAAGACTTTGGTTAATGTGTCTTTTTAGTGAGATCATGCTTTTCAACTTTTTTTTCACCAATTGGAGAGTAATGTCTCAGCCTTAGCAAGAAATGCCTGAGGATTAGTCATGATTTGAAGCTAATACATCTCAAATGACATTCTTTATTGCCAGATGTGATTGTGCAACACAGGACTTTGTAATGATGTGCACCTCAATCTGCCTGGAGCACAGATTGTCAGATAAGAAGTACCTCCTTAATCTCCATCCTGACAAATCACTGCGTCATATGATGACCTGTTAGAGGACAGCTGGTGCATAAATGTGTCTCTGTGGGTCCGTATTTATATTGACGAGCATATGCCTGCTCATATGACACACAACTCTATTAAAATGAATATATATTTCAGACATATTTTGGTTTATCACCCAGTACCAAACAGTTATGGTACTGGGAATAATGACAACAGAAGGTCCATTCACAGCACATTGTGACTGACAACTTACCTGCCTCTATGTGAAATTGTCCTATAGGAGTGTGACAGTGTGCCAATAGATACTCATGGGAGATTAAAATTTTGGTTTAAGGAAGACTTTTGCTATCTTGTTGTATAAAAACAACAACTCATAAGATCCGCTGGCTGCCTGGCAACTGCTCCCAGAGACAAAATAATCATTTTTATTTATATATTTTTATTTTATTTTATTGTTTTTGTACTGATTACACAAAAAGATATAACATGTTAATTAATGAGCCTTCCAGAAGCTGGACGGTAAATTTTGTAACCTTTGGACAGAGCCAGGCTAGCTGTTTCCTAAGCTAACCCAAGCTAACTGGCTATTGGCTGTAGCTTTACATCTAATGCAATGGTTATAGATCTAAATTGACAAATAAGTGTATTTCCCAAAATAATAATCTATCCCTTTTAAAGGTGTTCACTCAGTACTCTCCAGGACAGTAGTAGATACCCATTTATGTGTATGTACTTATGTGCAGGAAACCCCTAGAACATGTTTCGGTTTTCCAAAAAGACCAGTGAAAAATACCCTAAACAAAAAAAAAAAAAACCCCACTGAATTAAAGATGCTAGTGTTACAAAGGCTAGATTGTCCCTCTATGCATCATGCAATATTAAATTATTTTGCAAACTGCTCAACCATGAACTAGAATCACACCAACTTTGAAGAATTAATGTCTTACCGTCCAGGTGGCAGACTTTGCTGTACTAGACTGCTGGAACGACACATCAAAGGTGTGGGGCCCCGCATAATCTGTGTTGGATGGGATGGCCGGTGAGGGAGAAAGGGCATCAAAGGTAGAGCTGGGCTGGGCGTAGGGTGATGGGGCTGTCACATTGTTCTGTGCATGGTCGTTGTTGTAGGGGCTGGTGGAGGTTGAGCCACCATTCTGAATGTTCTGATCCATGCTATTCAGGAGCCCCAGGTTTGTATACTGCGACTGGAGACAAAATAGAGGGGATGGGGGTTGGGGGGGACAAAGGAATGTCTTCAGTCATTAGTGATGAATTTTAAGGTGCTTCAATCTGACAGGAAGGAAACAAATTGTAATGAGAACATGATAAAATCTTTTAGTAACCGGTGGTTCAGCTAACACCAAGATACAGTTGGTAAGTTAATACCATAGTTTCAGGTAAAATGATGATTAAAAAATGTGTAAAACTGTGTTTAAAACGAATTTACCAATAAGAACACATGAAACTAATCAGAGAATATTGCATATGAAGTTAAGATTAAAGGAGGTGAAGGCTCATAACACCTGAAGAAAACATGCTACTTGAAGCAGAGGAAGTATCTGGTTTCCAAAAAAAGGTCCACAGTATAAGAGTAACATAAACCATCTTTCCTTGTGTTGTGTTTATGGCCTAGCTCCTCCCTTAAACTGTGTTAATAATCCTGAGATCATCAGCCTCAGAAATGTTTATATGGTAGAAATACAGAATCTGACTTTATAATTCGACCGCTCAAATTACCAGCCAAGCCCTCAGCTACAAACTGTGCTATCTCGCCCTCTGATTCCCTTTTCCACAGCCACAACTATTCAGACAGGGGGAGTGGAATTAAAATATCTGCCTTTAAAACAGGATGGAGAATACACCTGGGTCAGAGCCAGCCCCTTCCTGCTTCCATTCCTTTCCATTTATAAATGGCACATTCCTGGACGAGGTGCCATGGCTCTCGCTCTTTAGACAGCCATTAATCTCTCCAGGGCCTCTTGTTTATTTCAAGCACGGCTGACCACAGCTGTCCGGCTCACACCCATTGCACTGCCAGGTGTTAGTGGTGTGCCAGATGACCAACAAAACACCGACTAGGTAGGCTATATAACTATTAATCACGGGTTGTGACTTATGAAGCAATGTTGCTGCTTTATTACATACAGATCCACAGACAGACTCACACAGTCAGACACACCTGAGAGAGGTCATCCAAGTCAACCTCAGCATACTTGTGCAACAGCGCCACAGGGTATCTAGCAGTTTGCATGAGGGGTCTCTGTGTGTGCGGCGCAAGGCTGCTTAACCCCCTGGAAACAATGACACCAGGGCTTATAAGAGCTTGTCTGGAGAACAATTATGCTGGGCATGCAGGTGTTAGGAGACAAGTGTTTGGTGAATGGAACACACACACTCAGAAAGAAAGAAAACTCCACTTTGGTGGAGACCCTCAAGCCTGTAGCAGAGGCTTCCCCAAACACACGCTCCCTTACAATGGGCTAATTACACACATGCATTATAAAGGTTTAAACTCAATTGGCTGAGGAGCAGCCCTGTGCATCTGATCTCAGAGGAGAAAACATGGGCATGGTTCAAACTGGTGTGACTAAATATAACAGAGGCTTATCAGATACTCAGGAACTATTATTTATTTATTTTAGCCTACGTGAATGAAAAGAAGGACAATATTCCCAGTTTTGCGTGGGAACTAACAGGGTGACACAATTTCCTGTTTGGACAGTGTTTTCCCGTATATGTTGAGTCAGCTATCATTAATTCAGAAGGATTTCTTTTGAATTGTGGCGCAATAGAGTACAGTGGCAGCAAAGCGCTCAGCCGTTCAGAGATGACACAGCCTCCCCCAGTACCTGATGCTGGCAGCTGCAAAGGTGGATGTGACAGGCACCAATTATCAATGTCAAATTATTATTCTAAAAGAAAGGTTGATGCTTGCCAGAGACCAAACACAGATAAAAGCAGGGGCATAAAGCAGAATGCCTCACATAGAGTACTTAACATTAAATACAGGGCCCTGGATAATGCTTCTCATGCTCTAAATGAATATAAGGATCAGGGATGAGGATAAGGCCATAATTGACCAGATACTGAGTCTCACCTAAACTCACCATGTTTTAATGTTTAATTGACTAGAAGTGGGGTATCAAGCCTTTAAAAAAGGTTGTGAGAGGGAGTTTCAGGCCTTTCATCAGATCTTATTCCACTGTAATACAGCAACCATTTAATAACCACTTTAGCTGCTCTTAAAAATTCCTTCTGTTTATAGCCGACGCTGTGTTTAGGCCTCTGGGATATCAGGCAGCTAAGCAGAAACACGGTAAATCAGCAGCCTTGACATCCTTAACAGCCTTTAATAAAGTTTTTGAAAGGTTGAGCTGTCTGTTTGAGGCCTTCAAGCTAATTTCTTTGTCTGGGATAAATGCTGGGGTAAGCATTTGAGGCCAACAGGAAAAGGAGAATGTTGACCTTTAGAGTGATGGCCTGTTGATACAATGTAGGAATCTGAATTATCCAGAACACATATCAAAGCCTTTTCATATACACATGGCAGCACTGATTTAAAATGCATAGTTAATGCCAACACAGTGGCATTTGGTATGGCATGCTGATACATTCAAATTACTTCTTGTCTTGTAGTTATTGCTAGGCCAGTGGACAAATGAATGACTTATTTAGAACATACCTCATTAATGGGTTCAACTAATATATTACATACATACATATATATACATAAAAACATACACATATATAAATATAGTATTACTACAATCATGCTGTCTGCAGCTAGTGGAGTGTGCGGTCCTGTTAAAACATTAATGTCTGCAAGGTCAGTGCAGCGGTTTCGACTGTGTTTTAATGAATACGTTACTTTGAGTGTCATTAGCAACAGTGTCACTAAATACCAAAGATTTTCTGATTTCTGTAATAATTGTGCAAGAAGCACATCTACTAGTAAAATGCTCCCCTTCTGCAAATATAACAGCCCCCTATCAACACCATGAATGTCATATTGTTGCATATACTGTAAACTTGTTTAAAGACTGTAACACATAAAACTCAATCATTTATAGCTAAATATGTTGCTGCTACTGTTAGGTGGTTACAATGTGTAAGCACTGATAAAACCACGGCTTGGATGACCAATAGATGACAGGAACCATGGCAGACCTGGCCTGAGGGGGGAATAGTTCCCATTCCAGGCTCTCTAGTGACCTGCTCCATGTACGTTGGGCCAGCATACAAGAGCGTCTAGGGGTCAGTGATAAGTGACCACAGGGGAGGGAGACATTAAAGGCTCAACAGGGTTGGGGGTTGAGGTAGGGCTGGGTGGGGGTCTATCTACACCTTATACCTGCTGGGGTGGGCAGAGCAGGTGATTGTATCTACATCAACACACCATTAAAGCAATTACGATCCTGGACTAAACAGCAGCGCCTGGCCAGCCACATTGTAATGGCTGCAGCGGCTCCCAGGAGACTGGGGACAGGGGAACCTGATACCTCACACACAGGAGGGATTGAGCTGGACACCACTTAAAAACCCCCTGCTCAACAACTTAAAAGACAGTGACCTGACACACCTGCTATCTGCAACCTGCAATCTGAGAATCTATCACCGCTCACTTGCTCAGCTTTAAGTTTGAATGCAGGATTTGGTTGGTAAAAAACACAACAAGAGAATGAGACAATAGTTTTACTAAATCAGCCAACAAAAAAGAAAAATGAGAGCCCAGGCTAGAACACATAGTGTATTTTACATAGATTAGACTTAGTGACAAACGACAGTTTTGTTTTTTAACAAACAATTATTTTCTCAAATACTGTAAGTCTGACAGAGACAGTTTTTCTACTTGCTTTTGTATTATTATGGTTAAACTGTATGGATGCAAAACCATACAATGACCAACATCAGAATACAATGTTGCCTGACTAAAAAAACTAATATGAAAGTAATTTCAGTACAAACTTGTTTTTATATTTAATTCACTTTAAAACTAAAGTGTTTGTAACATCGAGCTCTGCAAACACAGATCCATTAATCTTGATGCTTGCACATTCAATGTGAAAAACGGGAGAAGAACCTTTGCTTTTTAAAAAAAAATTTCTAACTAAGAAACTATTGCAGATTGATGCATTAAAAACTTTTGTCTGTGACAGAACAAAGAACATCAGATGTAAACGTCAGACATCTTGGAGAAAGACAATTGCTTCACAAAAAGCAAATAAAAACTCCTGATCCCAGAAGTATCCTTCTCTATATTTCTTATCAAATAAATAAATAAAAAAATAATACCAGAATAGTTTCTGATCATTAAAATAACCTACAATATAGTGTTTTATGTTTTCTTTTTAATTATTTATGTGTTCCTGAGCTTTTACATGACAGGAACAGAAACTTCTCACTGCAGAAAATCAAAACCCTCCAAAGCCTTCTGGAGGTCAGATTTCCAAACACGTAATTCACACAATCAACAACAATCAGACTCAAAGTAAATCACGTCAACTGACTAAATCCATTGCGGCCAGACAGCAGCCATTTCACAAGGAGGACCAGCATTCAAAGAGATTCTCCAGGTGTTTACATTCCCCTGCTCTCTGCCACACGCACACAGATGTGCACGCAAACACACACATACTGTCGAATGCAAAAACATCTTCACTGCGTTAAGTCTTTTTTATGGTAATCATTACTTGATTAAAACGGGCTATTTATATTTCATTTTACTTAATCAGCATTAAATGCCTGTTTTAAATCAAAAAGTATCCAATAATAAATGATACACATGAATGCAAGATTTTGGATCATTTAGAACACTGACAAAAGATTTGGGTCCCGAAGTACAAGGCCTTTAATTCATATGTGATATTTCAGTAGTCCAATGGCGCTCTGGGGAACCAACTAAAGGAATGGGCACAATGGCTGATGCCCCATCACCAGTTCCTGCGTTGGTCTTACCTCGCTGTAAGATGTGGTGGTCCCCGTCTCCAGGTACAACATGTTGGCGCTGAGGTTGAGCAGAGCTGCTGCTGTTTGTTCCACTGGCTCCAGGATTCCACAAATCTCTTTTCCTCACTCTGAAGGAGTGATGTGGACTACAGATGCAAAGTGGATGAGCAGAAGCTTCTATAGGAATCTATGGGAAGGTCATATATACCGGGGAAGAGAGGGGAGGGGTCTAAGGAGCTACCTGTCCAATACCTGAGTC